TGTTTTGTTGACGCGTCTTGGGGTTTGAACTCTGTGAGTGGTGGAATTGTGACCTGGAACAACTGTTGCTTGAAGACGTTCAGTAGGAAACAGACGACCGTAGCTCTGTCCTCGGCAGAAGCCGAGCTAGCAGCACTGACTGAAATCGCCAGAGAGGGATTGTGTATATCTTTGTTGGTGCAGACGATGGTGGAGGGGATGCCTTCTGATTCGGAGGAAGGCCGATATCAGTTGCACGCGTACGGGGACTCTGAAAGCGCCCTGTCCATAGCGCAAATGAGTACCCTCCTTAGGAAAGTCCGCCACATAGAGTTGAGAGCTGCTTTTCTCCAACAACTAGTCGCCAAGGAAAGATTGACGCTGGAGTATATACCGGGGAAACTCAACCCCGCAGATGCTCTAACGAAATCCCCAACTGCGGAGAATTTGGTCAGTCTTTGTGAGGCAGCTGGCCTCATTACCGAGCCAGAATCGTGGTCGTCGATCTCCGAAGAAAACGTCGAAGAAGTAAGAAATGAGCCCAATATCACTGAGGAAGTATCTTCGAATGCAGTAAGGTCCTCTCCGCTGGAGGTTCCGAGCTCTTGGATGGAAGCCGCGACGGCAGTGGCTAGAGGGACAGTGTCGCTCGTCGTTCTGGAGCTTTGCTGCGAAGAGTCGAGTGCTATAGCGAGAGCGTGTGCTCGAGAGAAAGGAATAGCGTACTTCGGAGTGACTCGGGAAATCAATCTTCTGAGTAGGAACACCTTTCTTGTTCTTGAAGAGATCTTAAGAGTCCTGACGCAGGGAAAGGTCCGTGTCTTTGCGCATTTGTCTACGCTTTGCAGCTCAGGCTGCCCCTTGAGGTACCTGCGTTTCCGCAAGCGACGAGGTTTGGAACTTTGGCGGAAGACGCTAAAGATTCACAAGAGTTGCTGGAGACTTATAGGGAAGCTCTTCGGCCCCTATTCCTCGAACGAGGGTTTGCTGTTCACGAAGAATTTCCATGTGAAGTTTTGGAATGGACGTGAGTGGGATGAGAAAGACGTGGTGGGAGGAACGCAGAAGATGGACAGCTTCTTCAGTTCCTTTCGCCGGAAGGTCGGAAGACAGGCCTTCAACACTGTTGAACCAGAAAGTTCGTTTGTTCCAGTTGCAGTTTTGGTTTTCAGGCTCCGATGTGTTTCAAATTTTCGGGGCTGTGCGACGGGCCGAGAGGACCGAGAGCGGCAGTGCATCTTTGGCCGCTCTGTTTGTGTTCCAGCCCATGTTCAAGGCTTCTGCCCAACCAGAGCAGGAGTCGCAGAACGCTCAAGGCGACCAGCACATCTCCGAAGAGGAGTGTAGCCTGCAGTCGGCCTTGTTCGACGATGAGTGACAAGCTCAAGCGTTTCTGTTTCGCAAGAAATGCGCAAAAAGGTTCCATGCTCTTCTGTTGCTGGGGGGTCGCGGTAGGGTTGGGCGTTTGCTGTTAACGTGCTCGAGTCGGGTTAGAGGTTAGAGAGAGTAGGCGCAGAGAACTGGCTATGGCACTGTGGGCGGTGCTTGCTTAAACAGACGCGGCGCCAGAGGTGGCAGGTTGTTCTTGGCGGCGCAGCTCTTCCTTGAAGGCGCGGCGCCATGCGCGGCGGTCGCCGCCGCGGCTGGCGCCGCGCCTAAAGAAAGAAGAAACTTTTTCTTTTCTTTCATTGCCACTTGTCACGCCGCGCCCGGCAAAGATTTTTGTACCAGTTGGTAAGGATATTAAGTACAATAAGCTCTTGTATCACTTTCTAAACCTACAGTATACACATGATGCCCCCAAACAAGACCTGCTTAAAGTGCTCTTAAAAAATCGGCCGCTGCGCGGGGCTCCAAGTTCTAAGGCCCCTTGCCTTTCACGCGGTTGGCTGCAGACCGTTAAGCAGCCTTGTGGGCCTTAAACTGCACCAGGCCAAGCACGCCAAGCCGATAGGCTCCCGGTACCGGGAAGCACACTGCCCAAGTGCCAGCCAGCAGCCTTTGGGGCTCTTGCGCCGTCTTAAAAATCGGCCGCGCGGGGCTGTAACAAAAGGCTTCTTGCAAGCAGCGCCCAGGCCTGCCCTTTGGTTGTCTGCCCCGCTTGTCGGGAAGAAAGGGGCGCCTTTTCTCGCACTCTGTGCATTGTGCTTAGTGTGCTTGCAACTCCAACCACAATGGAGTTCTAAGTGCTATTGCTACGGCTCTGGCGCTTGTGTGAAACTGTCATTCCGGACGCGTTGAGGAGTTTAGGTTTTTTGCGTTGGTCTTACCATGCGGGCGTAAAGTTGTCTTGCAATAAGGGCCTCTGCGCTAGCGGTTGCTTCTTTGTAGTCACAACTTCTTTTTCACTCGCTGGCTTGTACAGTTTGACGTTTGGCGCTTTTGGTTTTGGCGGGTTGCTGTGGGTTGCTTTGGTTTTCGCGCCTGCAACTGTTTCACCTCCAGTGTTAAGACGCACAAGAACGGCCTACTGCGCTGCTGATGTAGTAAAGAGGCAATGGTCCACAAAAAAAAACAAGGCCGAACCGAAGGGCTCCCTCCGAAACCTGCTTTTGTTGCACTTGCAATTGCAAGGATTTTTTTTTTTGCGCGAGATAACTGCTGATGGTTGCAAGGCCTCTCAGCTCCGGATCGATTTGGCAGTTCTAAGTCCGAAACCTAGCCTCGGCGATCCTTCGGGACAATGAACCACTTCCGCCTGATCCGATATATATATATATAGTCGGAATTGAGCACGTTTCCATGTGCGAGTGGTATAAATTGTGAACGGACTGATGCCTGTGCTCGATCGAAACCCTAAAACTGTCCTTTGTCCTGCCCATTGGGCAAAATGCTTGTGGCAAATCGGGCATGTTGTATGATATGCTTTTGCTTTTAGATTTTCAAGCTTCCGTCGTGTCCATGGAAGTTGCCATATTGCTGGGAGCATGTTGCTTATGCGATTTTGCTGTGCATCATCCCACTGTCACTGGTTGCCGTCGGGGGATGGACGGTTTCTGATCTTCCGGAGCTTATTGCCGTTATCGCGGCACACTTGGATTCTCGGATTGGGATGTTGCGTTGGCAGCCAGACCGGGTCCGCCTATCATCCCCATCCCGGGCGGGCACATCCGAACGCAAGTTCGAGTACGCTTCGAAGGGGAACGTCGCACCTTCCCAACATTGGAGTTGCGACAGCTTTGGACATGCTGGACTTGGGCGATGGACGGCCCGTAGGTCTCTTGGTGGCTTCTGCGTCCTTCGTCAGCATGCCAGTTGCCACTGTGTTAGCCAAATACCATTTAGCCACGAGTCCAAAACTTTCGAACAAGGCCGTAAGAACCCATACTCGTATTAGTCTCGTATTTGCTGAGAACTGTGGCTGCATCCAAGCCCAGGCGGCCACCTTTCACACAAGCGAGTCTTTCGGCCAAGGTCTTTGCATGCCGTAATTAATGCTTATGGCCAGATACAATACAAGCACAAAGCATCCCCGTAGATGCCAGTGAAATATGATGTCGCGCAGCCCAGAGCACTTCGACCCTTGCCCTCACGGTTCATTCTTCTGGCCGTGCAGCCAAAAACTTCAAACATCCTGCAAGCTTTCCTGGAGAATGCTTGAAGATGCTTGGCAGGTGGTGGGTACGGAGATCTACGGAGCTGTGGAAGACTTGGCTGCCAGCCGGCTTCATGACGACTCTACCAGTTTCCAGGCGCGTTTGTTTTATTTTATTTTTTCACCTAAGCTTCTGGAGTTGTGGTCACCTGTGGATGGTATCATCGGATCCCAAGCTCGGAATCGAGTACGGCAATCGGCAGCTCCAACCCACAGACTTCTCAAGACTTCTCGGCCGGGGTTAGCTACACAGGGATCGTGGACCAAAACAAGAGAGCAATGCAAGGGGAAACGGGCCTACTTTTCAAATCATCTTACCAGACTGCGGGTTGGCAGTTGCTACTCCTTGGTGTTTCAAGATTTGCTTCTGGAAAGTGCGAGGGGATGGGAGGGGAGGGTGTTGTTGCATGCACCTGGCTTCTTAAGTTGTAGGCGTGCGTCCAACAGATCTGCAGGCAGCAGTGTGATGTGGTGGTCGTTTTGTTTGTTTGCACGGTGCAACAGCCTGAGCTTTGTACATCATGCTACTAGCCGAAGGGTTTCCATGCATGAACAGATATAAACAGCATGGTCAGTGCCCGACAGCCTTAATGGATGCGATGACCTGCAGCTTACTCCTCAAGTCCCAAAAGGGATTGCAAACCTTCCGTGCGAATCTAGTTTGCGGTTCTAAGGTTCTCCCTTGAAATGTACAGATGGCCTGATGCAGAATTGTGGTGTATCATTGCTGTAGGGCCTGAACATCACCAGCTTGTGGAAATGCGGAAAGACTCATTCCTTTTCAGAGTGCTTCCTGCAAAGAGTGTTAATGCATGAGTACCTAGTCCTTTCTTTTCCTTACCCAAACCTTCTGGCTACGCAGCATTGCCATACCGTCGTTGCTACGCTTGCAGTAGTGCAGAACTCAAAAGAGCATGGTTGTGTTGCTCTCAACTCGAGTGCGCTGGACCCTGCAAGATACGGCGATGGGTCGCAGCCGCAAGGACCTCAAGTGTCCGCCAAGCGACCGCCAAGCGTTCTCTGATGTCAGCTGTATGAAAAAGGGGGAAGGGGGCGAGCACAAAAATCACGATTAGGAACCCCAAGCAAGGGAAGCTCTATGTCGGAAACCGCCAGATTTCTCAACATATGAAGATTTGAAGGTGCGTCGTGGTCGAGAGCCCGGCGTACTTGCATGCCATTCGACCGGCAGCTGGTCCGCAATATCAGCCAATGTTATGCGTACGTTATGCTGCCGGAGTGGCGCTTGGATTCACATGGAAGTCAGAAGATTCCGGAAAGTAGGCAAAGGGAAGAGACAGAGACAGCGACATCGAGAGAGAGAGCGGGAGCGAGATAGAATGAGATAGAGTGGGCTTGGCCGAAAGCATCGTGGCTTTGAGCACCGACAACCGAACGTGTGTAACGTGTCATTGTGTTTGGAGCCATGGCGCTTGGACGAGTTTTCTCGTCGTTGGCGCTTTCGGTCATAGCTTTGGGCGCGGAGCCGCAGCAGCAGTGCAACGCCTGCGCTGAGGGTGACGAGGTGCAGTTTCTGCACGTTAAGGCCGTTAAGGCCGTTAAGGAGCACGGCAAGTCGGACAGCAAGAGCACGGAGAACAAGAACAGCAAGAGCGGGGGTGCTGTGGTGTTCAAAGTGTCTCAAGTGGACTGTGAGAAGAACTCGTTGCTATCAAAGGGCATCAAGACCTCGATCCTCCTGGGAGGTGGAGCGAATCCAGGCGCCGCGCGGGAAGTTGGCTACTTCCGTGCCTTGAATCGGATGGGCCTCCTGGACAAAATCGATCAGATGGTTGAAGGCGCTGGGCTTGTCACCGCACCCCTGCTCTACGCAAAGGGCCTCACGTTGGAGGAGCTCCTCGGCCCCCCCACAAACCCTGCAGATCTGACTCTTGCAAACATCGCAAGTCCCAGTGGGAAGATTCTCGAGGTGATGACCTACCCAGTTGCTGCGTCCATCGGTTATGCTGCGGCGGCTTCAAGTCCCCTCTTGGGCTTGCCGGCGGTGTCGAATGCTGAGTTCTTTGAGACGGTCATCGCTCTGAACTACCTTTGCCCCTTCGGCCTCAATGGGAAGTTGTTTGGGCTAGGATTCAGCGTGGTCCCAAATTTCGAGGCCACAGCCATGGCTGCCCTGCAATTGCCACCATTGCCCGCCGGTTGCAAAGAGCATCTGCTGAACCAGAACCAGGTCTGGGCCTTGGACGAGGCGCACCTCCAGAGGATGGCGAGCCAGAACCCGGCTCTGGACATGTCCGGCAACCTGACCATCCAGAGGACGAGCGTGCGGAGCCACGTCATCACCGGGGCGCTTGGGCCCCCAACAGGTCAGTACCCTTTGACACCCAATACGCCGAACTTTTGGCTCAGCCCTGACCAGTGCGGAGTTCCCTTCTTCCCCTACGACCCGATCTTCAAGAGCTTCGACTACCAGCCGATCAACTCGAGTGAGGCTCCAGAAGAGGACGTCGTGTTGGGCGGGGGCGTGGTGGACTCCATTGGCTGCTTGTCCACCATGGCTCCGGCGGAGAGCCAGGAGCAGCAGGGCAAGACGGCGGAGGCCAAGAGCAACTTCACGGAGAGCAACGCAGGGAACGCGGCCCTGTTCACGTTGCAGGACGCAGTTGCCATAGCCTCGAACGACTATGACACGGCCGTCGTCTATCAAACCACTGGGCTCCTTAACATCCTGGATGGCTTGCTCACCGCGGCAGGACAAACACGTGACCCATCGGATCCGTATCCCGTGAATCAGCAGAGGGTCTATTGGCCAGTCGCCGAGCCTGGGAGGGGTGATGTGCAGGAGAAGTCGCACTACGTCTTCAACGGAAATGGCCGAACCGGCAACGGTATCGTCCACGCCCTTCAAAGCGGAGCCGAGTGCTTCATGGGTCTGACGGGGACCGGGATTCAATACGGTGGGGATGCACGAGTGCAGACGACTCCAATCCCGCTCATCTCTGACTTCCTGGACTGCGGGTCCCTCAAGATCACCAACTTCAGTGCATGGGCTGCGTGGCTCAAACGGCCGCCCGTCGAAGTTCGACTCTGGGGCATCGAGAAGGACAGCTCATCAACTTCACTATTCCCGAGGAGTCGAGTTTGCCTGGCTTCGAGTCTGCCCCGAGGCAGATCTTCGAGCCTGGCAGCCTGTTCCCGCTACTTTGCCAGATACAGGAGAGCTTTGACAACGGGGAGCCTGTGAGGGCCAGCGCCACATTGACGACTGTTCAGAACATCTACTGGGGTATTGAAGCGGGCCAGAAGATCCGTGTCCTCTTTGTCTTCCAAGAGCAGTCGCCCGCCTGGGAAGCCTTGCTTCCGGAAGAGACCCGGACCATGATCCAGAATGGCAGCTTTACCAGCGGCCTCACCGGCAGATCTGGCTGGCCCTTTCTGCAGCCCACCTACCCCCAAGGGCAGCCTAACCAAGTTGGCATCGATCCCTCTGCGATTTCGCCTCAGCAGGCCAACCTCAAGGCGGCGCAGGCAGAGTGGGAAATGCTGCAGATGCGTGAGGACATCGAGGACTGCATGAACGGAAACAAGAAGTCGTACCATGCTCGCTCAAAGTCGTCGACGCCTCTCCCTACGAATGCCGATGACACGTCGTACTATGCTCGCTCAGGCTTCCCCCGGCCTCATGGATTTCGCCACCGCCATTGGCGCTGAGCGCCTTGTGTGCCCTGAGAACTCCAGCAAAGCGCTTAAATTTGTTTAATGCTTTGACCGCACTTTTCCCCGCTTGGGGCCTTAGAGCATATCTCAGAGCTGCGTTTTGCCTTCGGCACTAGCCAATCGAGCAGCATTGAGTTCATTTATGTCTGCAGGAAATTCTCAGACATATTCTCGACTCCCCCGTAGGGGGCAGTGCGTCGCCAAAATGATTGCGACGTGGACTGCGGGGCTGCTGCTGCTGCTGCTGCTGCTGCTGCGGCTGCTGCTGCTGCTGCTGCTGCTGCTGCTGCTGCTCGGACATGAAGTTGACAGGGATGCCTGCTCAGGTAGTCGCGCTGTGCTTTGCCAGCGACTTCTCGGAGAGCGAGCTCTTGCCCTCCCTGGTGTACGCTCGCGTCTGGCAGGCCGAGGAGCGTCCTGCCGCATGAGGTCCGCAAGCCACAGGAGATCATCCTCCAGTATTGCCATACTGTCGTTGCTACATTGCAGTCGTGCAGAACTCAACAAAGCGTGATTGTGTTGATCTCAACTCGAGGGCGCTGGACTCTGCAAGATACAGCGATGGGTTGCAGCCGCAAGGATCTCAAGAGTGTCTGCCAAGCGTCCTGCAAGCACATGTCGTTTTTTGATCATGATGATATCGCTATAAAGCTTCGTAGATAGTCCGTGGGTGTGCCAGCTGATCGCGGCCGTGTCCCCGGTGCCTTGACCGCAGCATAAAGCGCGGCCACCTTTCTTCACAGGAATTAGACTAGAAAATTGCAAGTTTCCAGATGCGGTGGTCATTTTGTTTGTTGACCTTTGGCCAAGATGGCGAAAATGGAAGCTAGGCTGTGGCGGTCGGTGCAATGTTCGCTGCATGGTGATGTTGATGCTGCGCAAGTCGTGTCATTTCTGTTGAAAGGTTTTTTTGGGGGGGTCGAGATGATCCATCAAAAAACACCCGTAGTGCAACAAAGTTTGGGCACTTTCATGTGCAACCTGAGTTGAGTTTGGTATTACGTTTTGAGGTTCGCGTCGAAGGGCGCTGGTGGTTTGCGTGCCTGCTGTAGCCTCGTCTGCTGTTGGTAAACTGCTCGAATTCACCACCGCGAGCACGAGCACTCAGTATTCATGCCCTCAGAGCATGTTTTGTGATCATGGTGCCGTATTTATTACCAGCATCACCAGCATCTTAGCACTGGTGAGCATTTCGGGGCTTGGGCAACGAAATAACCAGAACTAACCCAAACAGAGGCCGAACCTTGCTTTGATCGCCTTTTTCATGCTTTGCCTCAGCATTTCCGCCCGAACGCTTTTGCTTTGTCGCCAGCTTTGCGTTATGATCTTTGGAAGCTTTCTCGCACTTCTTGTGGCCAATGCCCTGGGAACATCAGAGACCTGCGCGCCCGGAACTCGTTGGAATCCTAGCTTTCCTCCCCTGGGACTCAGCCAGAACGAGACGGCAAACTGGTTTCGGAGAGAGCTACCCTCGCTGTCGCCCCCGCCGGACATGAGCCAACGAGACCGGGAGCTTGCCCGGTGGTCCGCCACTGAGTACGTTGCCGCCCGTCGGAACAAGCAGGTGACTTGTGAGGAGTACGTTTCCTCTTTGATCAAAAGGACACGCCACTACAAGGACATGAACCAGTTCATGAACTGGGACAATGATCCTGCATGGACCGAGAGGGTAATAGGAGCCGCCAAGGACCTTGACGTCAAAGCCCAAACTCTTGGTGTGGATGCCATATCTCCGCTCTATGGGCTACCAATTCCTATGAAAGGCACGATGGCGACAAAAGACTTCGTATCATCTGCGGGAGTTGGGATATTTCATGACATGCGTGCCAAAGATGATGCAGACTTCGTTAAGATTGTTCTGTCGAAGCACGGCATTGTCTTCGGGAAAACGAACGTGCCAGAGTTTGCTGCTTCCTTGGTCACATGTAACTACGCGGACGGTTGCACCATGAACCCCCATGGCCGTTTGCTCACCAGTGGCGGATCAAGTGGCGGGGCCGGTTCGGCAGTGGCAGCCCGTCTTGCACCTATAGCTGTCACCGAGGACACCGGTGGATCCACCCGTTCCCCTGCGTTCTCCAACGGCAACTTTGGCTACGATCCCACTCGCGGCCATTATTCAAACACCGGGAATCCAGGGATGTCTCTGATCCTGGACCAGCTTGGGCTTAACGCCCGGAGCATGGAGGACATCCTCCTCGTCGACTCAGCCCTGAGCGACTATGACCACACCACAGTCCCGGCCAAGCAAGTTGCCGACCTGCGGATCGGTGTTCCTCGATATCCCTTCGTGGAGGCCTACGTGCCAGCTGATGGAGACAATCCCTTCAGCTATGCGTAGTACCCGAAGGCCTTCATGCCATCGAAGCAGGTCATGGCCAAGTATGAGGCTGCCAAGTCAGCACTACGCCGAGCTGGTGCCACGCTCGTTGAGGAGGAGTGGCCTTCGGAGGACGGGCAGAATGTGCTTGCCAAGGCCTTCTTCCAGACGAAGATGGGGGACGAAGCAACTTGTCATTGCATGTATACCTTTTTTTGTGTGACTACTTCTCACTCAGCAGATTTCGCAGCTCTAGTGTCTTCGTGCAAACAGAGGGTTTTACTCTGCCACCGCGGAATACAGGTTTTCACGACCGGTGTCGGCTGAACCGGGGGAAGGTTGAACGGACCCGGAAACCTCGAGGCATGTGAAGATGCAGGGGGGGGGTGCGCTGCATGTCACGACGTGCTGCACTGAAAAACCTACAAGAAGCGCAAAGGGTGAAGCGATGCCGGAAACGTTTGCTACACGTGTTGAGGTCGAATTATTCGCTTGGGGTTGCTAGGTGTTGAGTATTGGGGTTCTTAGGGTTTTGGACTTCAAGAGGATCTCCAATCTCAGGGCAATGTGTCACAAGATTTTGTTAGGAACCGAACAACACACCCAAGTGCGCCCCGGTGCCTTGATTTCCCGACACACAACGCTGCAACTCTCAGCAGCAACCCACGGAACCGTTTTCCAGTACGGAATGCGCGCCGGACCTGGGCGAAAGCGTGAGTTGGCAGCTTCCCGGAGCATGCTTCGGAGTGCACCCACCGGGACTTCGTGGAGTCACAGCCATCTATTTCGCTCTCAGAACTCCAAAGTGCAAGCGCTCGCGGATTTGGAACTGGAGGTCAGTCCTTCAGGTTGCAGAAATTTCTTCCAGATCACCCCTAACCCGCAAACTCAACCTATCCAGTTCCTCGCTCCCGACAAGCATACTCCGCATGAACCCAAAGCCCTCAAGCCCAAAGCCTGATGCTTGCACCCAGGTGGTGAGCCCATACCGCCATGTTTTTTCAACTTTCATGGGTCAGGTAGCTCAGTGGCTCCTCAGACGCATGTGAATGTTTTGCCGGTTTTTGTACTTCAGTTTTGCGGTTTGAGGTCTGTGCACCACTACAGCTTTGCATTCAAGACTTGACCCATTCTGAGATCAGCCTAGGATTCACGAATACTTGGGCGCTGGAGCAGGCATCGCGGATGTGATTGCAGATGTGCAGAACGCCGGAGCAGGACATACGCCCTTTTCCCACATGGTGAAGTTCTCGACGAATGTCAGCGAAGCAAAGCTCAGCTTCATTCTGCAAGAGCTGCGCCGGGAGGGGCTCGATGCCTGGAATCGGCTTTTTGATGAGGCCCGCCTTGATGTGATTCTCATCCCAGGCTTGCTCCACACTGCCACGTATGACTGCATGGCATCCTCCAACTGTGAACACCAGGTGAAAGACATGATCAGTGGTGAGGTTGCATCGCACGCTGAGTTCTCTTCCATCGACCTGATCTTCATGCATACCTTGTCCATGAAGCACATACCGCTGCCGAAGATGATGGTCCCGGTGGGCTTGGACCCAGCGGGAAAGCCAGTGGGCTTGCAGCTGTTGGGTCGAGCCGGCCCCCCGAACTCGAAGGGGCTTGCCTACTCCTACGACCAAGAGCTTTTGAAGTCGGTAGACGTTCCTTTCCTCAAGACTGTGCAGACCGTTGTGCGGGCGATGGTGGAGGTGGACCCGGACCTCGCCCGCGTGGAGCCTGCATTGGTCAGAGGCCCTGGGAATCTCTTCCCATGATATCCAGATTGTGGAGCCTTTTGCTTTTGATTTGTCCGAGTCGTTCACGGCCTTTGACGATGGGCGATCTGCCATGACGGTTATGAGTACGATGAGGGCCGTGCCATTAAACAGCACAGATGCACCCGATCCCGGGCTACAGGCACTGGCGATGCGCTTGGGTGTTCTTATGCAGTCCATGCTGCACCTTGTACAGTCCAACGCTTTGGCGTTTGTGAAGGTTCTTATCCTGTAAAGCTCTTATCCTCTGCTTATCCCTACTCAGAGCTTCACCTGATCCGGTGAGTATCGTGAGCAGCACCGAAAGATTCTTGGAAGTTGAGCTCTGTGGGAATCACTCGCATTTGGAGCTCTTCGCCTCTGCCGAGAATCCCAAAGCTCTCCTAGACCTTGAGCGCGAAACATCGGGCACGAAACCGAGGAAGACGAACCGCAACCCCTGAACCCCCTCGCCCTGTGGGACCCCCCCCCCCTCGCTTGGAGGAGCTGCAAACCCTGGACCTTAGACGCCCTTAACCGCTTTAACCTCCCCCGGACCTGAACCCTTCCTCCCCGTTTTTTGGAGAAACCCTCTTTCCTCCTTTCCTGTCCTGGGGCCGGCCCGGCTGCCGAGGCGGCATGCGCAAGCGTTTACAATTACACCGCTGGATTCAAAACATTGCCCGCGGACTCGGGTTGCACCTCTCTGAAAATGTGTCACGCTGCGAATCTTACCAAGGCAAAGAGTCAATGCCATCGCGGGACGGAGTCTTCTATCGCATTGCTTAGCCCTTTCCTCCCCATCTATAGCGAGGGGGTTGGGGGGCACCCGCCGCGAGACAAGGCTGAATAAGACCGTGTTTCGTCTTCTGCTACGCCGAGGGTCCAAAACAACAGCAGGACGTACAGTGCACAACGGTTGCACATGCCGTTTGCAGGGCGCCGTTGCACCTCTGACCGACATATGCAAGCTAAGTGCCCACAACAAGCCATGCACATCTCCATGTTCGCAACATGTCACAGAAAAGAATGTTGTTTAAATAGCAACAGCAAGGATTGAAAAAGAAAGAATGCACGGCGACAAGCGGCATAAGCACAAGCGAATTGCGGCACCGCAAACGATGATGTTCTTGTTCAATAGCCATGGTCACGTCGTGCATGTCCTGCTGCGTAGCCTGCTTTCAAGGCTCCAAGTTGTGTGAATATCACCTCGATTCTTGCATGTATAGCTTGAGTGCGTGCCTTTTTCATGTGTAGTTCTGAGAGCAGCAGCAGTTTGCATGTTGTACATTCTGTTTGCTGTTGCTGTTACCTCTCGAAGGGCCCTTGAGCTGTGGCAGAAAAGGTAGAGTCCGAAGCGCGAGTGAACGCTAACTGGTAGCGGAGCTGCTCCCCTCATTGTGCAGGGGGTAGTTCCAGCTGGCCTTTGGACTGGTTGTGTTTGAGAGGAGTGTGAGAAGAGAAGTCCTCGAATCGTAAGATCGGGGCAACGTTTTTCCGCAGAACAGCAAAGCAGTTGGTTTGTTCAGTGACTGGATCTGACGAAGGAGTTTGGGCATGACAGTTGCAGGCCTCAGATTCCGAAACAAAGCGTATTCTTCAACGCCCAGTGTCACAAAGAATGGAGTGTTCATTTTCGACGGAAACCCTGCTGACTACCATGAATGGGAGTTCAGAACCGAGCTACGCATTGCGGCGCATGAGCAGCAGGAGAAGCGCCGAAAGAAGAAGGAGAAGAGAGAGAAGAAAGACACCTCGTTTTCGTCAGGCGGTCCTGAGCAAGGAAGAGAGGAGAGAACACCTCAGGCGGAAGCGAGTGCTCCAGCCGAAGGTGGTGTAGCCGGGAGACCGGCAGCTGCGTCAGGGAGACCCACCATTCCTGTCCCTGACTCGCCAGCGGCCAGTGTGGTTGCGCACGAGAGCAGCTCAGACGGGGATGATGGGGCTGTGGACACTGTTCTTCGCGTCATGGAGGGTCTCAGAGGAGACGCCTTCCAAAAGGCTAAGGACATTGGAATCGCGACCCTGTCAGGACCCGGTGGGCTAAGGACCCTGATCTCCGAGATCAAGGCAATGGTCTTCCCGCTAGGAACTTTGGAGGCCCAGGCCTTGTTTCGCAGTGGGCAAGCCATTCGAGGTCCTTTGAGTCGTCAGGACGGGGAATCAGTTGTTTCCTATATAGGAAGGAGACGCAGATGGTGGACCTTGATGACGCAGCTCGATCCGAGGATATCTCTGTCGGATAGTTTGAGAGCAGAATTGTTGCTCGAGTTGAGCGGGTTGTCACGTGATCAGCAGTTGATGGTGAAGGCTTGTTCAGGCGGTGCCCATGATTTTGAGACATACGCAAAGATCATGACCGAGCATCATGGGTTGATTCACTTGCGGGGGAACAAACTACTTGATTCAACACCCCTTCGAAGCCCTGGTTTCGATAGAGATACCCGCAGATGGCAGTCGAAGGGATCAGGCAAGTTTGGGAGCCGTTCACCAGGGTCAGTGACAACCGCTTATGTGAGTGATGTCATTGATTCAGCCTATGTATCGCAAGAACATAGGGCAGATGATCATTACGCTGATGAGTGGTACCAAGATGAGGCACAGGAAGATGCCGAAGATGTGGGGTGGAACGCTTGGACTGATCAGCCAGGTGGTTCACCAGGATATGCTCCTTCCGAGGAGGACGTGATCGTTTCCGACAGCGAGGTTGCCGTCGCCTTGAATGCGATGGAGGACTGCGACTACGAGAGCTTTCCCGAGGCCACGGGCGAAGCGATTCAGTTGCAGTGTGCGGCTCATGTTGCATTGGGCAAGGCAGGTAAGGGTAAAGGATCATCCGGTGGCAAGGGAAAAGGATTTCCGGTAGTGCGCAGTCGCTTGCAATTGTCAGTTGAAGAGAGGAAAGAGAAGCTCAGGGAACTCAAGGCTAAGAGCCGTTGCCTGCGATGTGGGCAAACAGGACATTGGAGCGGGGATCCTCAATGCCCCAAAGGTCGATCTTCACAGTCCGGTTCGGATGGCAAGGGCAAGTCCAAGGGAGATTCCAAGGGATCGAAGTCGGGAACAAAGCAAGCTTTCATGGCAGTTCCAGTGACTAGTGAGAGCGAGGATGACATGGAGTGTGTGTACATTGACAGTGGCCCCTCAGAAGGTAGCCCTAAAGCGTACATGGCCTATCGCAGGGAAGGCGCTCGAGCTTCAAGGACAGCCAGGAATGCCGCTCGAGACACGATGCCTCCCGGTGGGGACCGTGTCTTCACTGTTGGCCAGCATCGTGGGCTTAGTTTCGAGGAGGTTCTTCATCGCTACACTGCATATGTCATCTGGGGACGTTCCTTGAAATCGGCGGGATCTCGGGATTTGGCGGCATTTCTGAATTGGGTTCAGAATTACTACATCGTGAATGAGGAAAGCATGGAGGTAATGAGGCGAGACATCCCTCTAGATGAGGTGCCGCAAATGCCTGGAGCGCAAGCCCAGCAGAGTGTTGCGGTGCCAGCAGCATCCTCCCATGTGACAGCCAAAAGCAAGCCCCCAAATCCCCCTTTGCCTGTGAGTTGTCAGACATGCACCAACTTTTCGTACGTGGGGACAAATGCCTACGTGACAGTGAAGACCTGCAGGGTGTGTGGAAAGGTGTTTAAGGAGAAGAAGACCTTCGAGAAGAAGGACCCCACATTGTGCAGGCATGCAAACACCAGTAGACTGGGCTCGAACAAGGCCATCATGAAGACTTTCTGTAAGGATTGTGGTCATGTGATAGATGAAATGCCCCAAGCAGAAGCCCGAATCAGGCGTCAGGCTGCGCAGGAACTTGAGACTGCGACTTCGGCTTCGTTTGATCTCATCTCGAACATCTCTAGGAATGTGCTCGATGAGGCAAGCCTGGATGCAACGCAGACCATGACATTGTTGGATGAGTTCAGGTCCCAAGTTGAAGATTGTCTAGTGGCCCAGAATGTCGAGGGTATTGACGACCCAAGGATTTCCCCGAAGGACTTACATGAGATCCTCAATGATATCGTGGAAGCAGCAGTGGTATCTCAGGAATCTCCGTCATCCGTCAGAGCGTCGCCTGGCGAGATGTCGAGAGCTGCACCGCAACGGGCAGCTGGCTCCGGCTCGCAAGACCGGAGAAGGACAGATGGGGAAAGCGCAGCGTACATGTCCATGAAGACCAACTCCCTATCCTCGGTGGTTCCGTTGACCCTTGCGGAAGTGGATATTTACGATCATGAGGATATTTGGGGTGTCTTGGATGATGGTGCGAATAGCTCAGTTTGCGGGGAGAGATGGTGTGACAACGCCCAGATGAAACTGGCCAAACTGGGTTTCGAATTCCCCTGGTTGAGCCAAGAAGGCATTCAGTTCAGAGGACTTGGTGGGATGACTAAGACCTTGGGCGATCGACGTCTGTGCTTCTGCATTCAATGCGAGTATCAGGGTGAGAAGGAGGATGGTAAGGACCCGCTAGTCCCCGGTATCCTTGATTGCCACGTGACCTCTGGGAGCGAAACGCCCCTACTTCTATCCTTATTCGCGCAGAGCACCCTGGGTTTGTTGAAGGACATGAAGTCGTTCACCTGCTTGATACAGAGGAACAATGGAGAACTGTGGAGGTTGCCCCTGTTCAGGGTTAAAGGGAGCAATTTGCTTGCAGTGAACCTCTCCTCCGGTATCCGCCTTCTGGATCGAATACCTCGTCCGCTTCGACCTTACAGAGCGCCGTTGGAGAGGAAGATTCGTAAGGGTGAAGGGCACGAAGGTTTGACATCCAAGGACTTAGATCCCCAGAAGCAGAACACAGATTCCCAGAAGCAGGACACAGATTCCCAGAAGCAGAACACAGATTCCCAGAAGCAGGACACAGATTCCCAGAAGCAGAACACAGATTCCCAGAAGCAGGACACAGATTCCCAGAAGCAGAACACAGATTCCCAGAAGCAGGACACAGATTCCCAGAAGCAGGACACAGATCCCCAGAAGCATCCCGATGAGCGTAAGCAGCATCCTCAAAGGAT